GGATTGACTGTGGGGTGTAGAGGTTCGATAAGGAGGGGTTTCTCAAATCTCAAATTCCAAGAGGGTGAAAACGCCCCTCAAATATTACAATATTTGTTATTTAAAAAACTTTTGGTAGTCTTTTGGGAAAACGCTTGGACAGACATAATTTATTTTATTTTTTTACATATTTTGAAATGTTTTAAAAAATCATACAGGGTGTTCCCAAAAGTTGGGTAATTGGTTAACCACGATTCTGCTTAAACTGCTTGACGTAAAAAGCTTATTTTTAGCAACCGGATTTTTCGAAAGTCAAATTCCAACGAGATGAAACTACCTCTCAAATATTACCAAGTTATATAATAATAATATCGCCATATTGTTTTTTCTCATGTGAGAAAATGTTATCCAGTTTGTATGTTAATGAAAATTCTTGCTTGGCTTTATGGTCACCATTACAAATGATTAATTCGACGCGAACGAAGTCGCGGGTACACGCTAGTTAATAATATTGTTACGTTTTTCGTCGGTTCCGTGTGGATAGAAAGTCACAATTTATTTAAACACAATTTATTTAACACTAATTAACAAACAATAACGATTAAAAAACTAAAAGAACTATTACTAACTTATTTACAAACGATTTATAACTATTTATGTAGAAAAAAATTATTTTGAATTAGCGCGGCGATTGTAACTGTACGCGTCGACCGGTTGTTTTTCTCTCTGTCCTCTTCAGGCTTCGGGCGTCTGCTTATATATGAGAGAAACAGAAAATCCAGATTTGTCTCGAGAATTTTTAGCCGTGTTCTACCAACTTCTATTCGTTTTCAAACGTCGCCGCGCGTATGAGTCATAGCCGAGTGGCCAGTCCTAAGGCCGAGTTCACACGGGTCCGCAACAATATAAGAATTATCAGCAGAAAATTTGATTTTTTATATGGGACACCCTATATATTTTTAATTCATTGAAAATAATTTAAAATTACCTTTCCAAAAATATAGCATACTTGATATTTTGCTCAATTCCTCTTCGAGATATAGATTTTTTAAAAATTCGCCCACTTGAATAAGTAGGCTTTGAACGGCGCCGGCTGTAATGCAAAAAAAATCTAGCTGTGAGCAGCAATTACAACGAAAATAATATTTGCAATGAGAGATGCAGAATTTTATAACAATTTGCATTATATTTAACAACATCAACATATTTAAACTAAATATATCAATAACAATTAAAATGAATAGCAAACCAATATATGAGATTTTGCTACATGTCTGTTATGGACAGACGGAACCGTTTTTGAACATTTCTTGCGGAATTCATTCAACTCAGTGGGAGTGAAAGATACCCTCGCGTAACCGCTAAGTTTTTTTTACTTCTAATTCTTGTCTAGATTATACGGGCAATTTAAAAATAAGTATCTTTATTCTTCCGCAAAGATAAAAATCCATAGGCACTAAGTCCGGCGGCCTCGATGGCCAAATGGCTGGGATCTTGGTTAGCCATTCAATTATTCTCGAAATTGCTGATAACTTCAGCGTTCTGAGGCGGTACCTCGTCTTGCCAGCAAAATATGTTTTTGAGTTCTATTAGGGGCAAATCATCAATAAGGGGTCCAAAGCCTACTAGTTAAAAGTGGTAAACGTTTAAAATTTTTGTATTTTGAAGGGACTATGATGGTGCGTTTAGACTTGAGCACTGAGCGTGCGCGCACGGCATTCGTTCGCGCTCTCGGCTCCGTTCAAATTAAAAACTTATTTTTCGACGAATGAAGTGATCCATTTGTGCGCGCACAGCAGAGTTGTGTTGGCGAAAATAATGGACGACCAAGAAATAGTCGAGGCTGCAGTCATTGTTATGCACAGCTTAATTATTAAAAAGGAGAAAAATCGAAAACATCGTCGCTGGTGGCAAACCCAAATTTTTAGAAATCGATATAATTTACTGCAACAACGTAGTGTCTGAGGAGGGCTATGATCAGATCAAAAACTTTACAAGAATGACCAGACCCGACTTTGAATATTTACAAAATTTAATAACACCAAAAATTACGAACAAAAGATACCAAATTTTAGAATAGCAATTTCATTAATATCGCCATATTCAATATTAATTTTATTTACAAGATCTTGCCATGCTTTTTTTTATTTTTTAATAATACAAAGAATGTTTAACATCCCATAATATCGGCAACTTTTCATATTCTTCAATTAATAATAACGAAGATTTATTGATCCACTCCATAATTTGAATAAAGAAAACGGAAAAAAATTGCACACGCACGCACGAATGCAGTCAAAACAAATTTCCGGTGCAAACTGAGCGTTCGCGGACACATAAAATCCCTTTGAGCACGGACCAAAAACCGACACCAGACGGCTCACGTTCGCGGCTGCTCGCGCACAGGCAGCTTCAGAGTGAGCGTGCGCGCACAGCCGTTTACACTTGAGCATTCGCGGAGGATCAGTGCGTGCGTGCTCAAGTCTAAACGCACCATAACAAATTGTAGATGTGGAGAACTATTTTTAAGAAAGGCTGATATTTTTTATTTATTTATTAATAACTCTGCAACTATCGAAATAAATTTACTTATATTTTAGGACTATGTAAACTGGTCTAAAATAAGCCAAGAAAGTAATAATATACAGTGTGTGCCATTTAAAAAAATCGTCCCAATCCACTCACACTTTTCAGCTACCCTATAAAGTATTTTCCTGAAATACTTCCTAACACATACTTTAGGTCTGCACTTCTAGAAAATTCCTAAGTTGTTTATTCTAGGAGCTACAGAAGCCCGACGCACTATTGCCAGACCCTGTATTAAATAAAAACCAGCATAGAAAATGTCACATCAGAGGTTTTATGGGCTTTATTTGGCATTGGCTGATTGGCTTTCTAGACATAAAGTTCAGGGCAGGACTTTTTTTCAAATTTCTTTAAGGTTATAGTTGAATCGCATTCGAAAGGATTAATTTCAAGTTTTTATCAAAAGAAATCCTCTGTGTGCGCTGTTAAACAATCAATAATAATGGCGAATGACCTTTGCTTGCAAGAAGTAATTATTGTGAAACCTATAGAAATGCGAGAAAATCCTGGAAAAAATCTAGCTATTATTATTTGCTTTGCCTTGTGTCGTCTCTTCTTCAACGATTTAAGGATATAAAAATAAAAATTATTTCATTGTTTAATTTATGTTTTAGGTAGATATAAATAATATTCATTGTAACTATTACTAGGGAAAATTCAATAAATCGTTCCACTTTGTTCAAAAATTAACAAAATATATCAAACTATTTGAACTGAGTGGTGTATTTTGGTAAAATTTGGTAAATTTTGGCGAATTCTTTACTATAAACATTTTGACTGTCTTTGGGCTTCTTTGGGGCATGATGTTGAGCTTACTAAACTTTAGTATATTTAATAGTTATTTTCTATACAAGACGATAAAATGGTATTTTATCGTCGACCGAAATGATTAATTCACGAGCGATGAAATCGCTAGTGAATTAATTTCGTGAGACGATAATGCAATTTTATCGTCGTGTATAAAACAACGAAATGTTAAGATACCTGGAATGGACCCGGGCTATCTAAGCAATGAGCGGAATATGCAGCCAACATAAGAAAGAGAGGTCCGAGAGAGAGACGGCGATAGTCAGGGCAAAAGACGCACGGATTTAAATGGCCGGTATAGGAAATATGAGGAATATTTTCAGATTTATAGTAACAAAAACACTTTAAATTAATTTTAGGTAATTTGGAGGTAATTGTAAGGTAATAAAAGTACTGATTTTGAAAAATAGAAATATATTACTCGAGATTAACCCAACTAAACACAAATAAAAAACTAAATAGTAGGTATAAATTTATTTTTTATATAGGTTAGTAAAAAATCCAAGGCTAGGTACTTATACCCAGGGTTGGCTTGATTTAAATCAAATGATTTAAATCAAGATTTAAATCGTGATTTAAATCAAGTGATTTTTGTTTAAATTTTAATCATGTGATTTAAATAAAAAAAAATAATTTTATTGAAACTTTATAATAAATAAAATAATAACTGTAAAAGTTATAAAAATGTGTCTTAGAAAACTATAAAAAATATTTCTATAACATATAACAGATAATAAATCGAAAAGTAATTGTAAATGTTATAGAACTATATAAAAATATCTGTTCATCAATTTAAATGTTGGACCGATTTTTGACGTATTTTCGTGTGAATCCATTAGATCGCTAAACTAAATTTTTTTTATGTATAAGTGACAAAAGAAAACATTCGCAGTGTAGTGCAGAACTAGGAACTAGGTTCTTCTGATATAGAGACTATATCTTCATTCCCGAGAAATTATAATCGTCAGAAAATATGTTGTTTTATATAATTTTTTCCAAACGGTGTATTTTTTTTGAAAATGTTTCCAAACTCCTACCGACATTTTGATCAGCTGTAAGTTCCTTACACTTTGACATTAGATAATATTAATTTAATTCTCGAATTAAGACGATTTCCGAACAATAGTGTATTGTTTTATTAGGAGTAAAAATTCTCCTTTTTTTGACGAACTGAAGGACCATCGTAAAGCTATTCCGACGTTACAGGGAGGCACAAAAAGTACATTTTTACTCCGAACAGGACATACTCTTTTCTTAAAACATTACAAATAATTTTTTAATCAATTTGAAACATTGCTAATAATATAAACAGTAATCGAGCAACAATTTTTACACTCGTTGAATTTGACAATTAATATTTTTTTGTTTAATAATATATTTTTGTACTTTTGTGCTTAGGCGTAACAGTGCTTTACTTTTATGCCTAGGCGTTAAAATAATTACAAAAATTAATACTCTTGAGACGTTTGAAAAAAAATCCTTTTCATCTGAAGCGAGCGACTATTTATGCGGAATATATTGGTGACCGATGTGGAAAAATGACACGCGCCGTAAAATTGTTAATGTTATCGGTATCGGGCAGAGTTATAAAGATTTAGCCATTTAGGATTTTGAATTAGTAACCATAACCAGTAACCATAACTTTCTTAAGTTGGGGTCCTTGGGAATTCTATTATTTATTAAAAATAGATAATATTTTAGCAATCCATTACTAATCAATGGGAAAAACTTACCTGTGAAACTTCATTTTAACCTCCTTGATTAGAATGGTCACTAACGGAATTAGTACTGGGAGAATTGTCAGATCAGGGGCTTGGAACACCCTCAAAAAAGAAATACCACTTCTGCAACTCCCAGTGGACGATATGCCAAGAACGTACAACTTTAACAAACATGTCAATGTAGCATTGAGTAATAAGAAGGATTGGAAGAGCGAAATTACTCCGAACCAATGGTCACTTACCCTAGTATCCTACAGGCAGAAATCTACGCTATCGAGAGATGCGTACAACTTATCTTAGATAGGAACTATCGGAAACAAGAAATAGCCATCTTATCTGATAGTCAAGCAGCGTTAAAGGCGATCAACTCAGTATCAATCAATTCGAAATTGGTCAAAGAATGCATAGAGAAGCTGAATAAATTAGGCAAAGAGAACAAAGTCCTCCTACACTGGGTGCCTGCTCACCAAGGGATAGAAGGCAATGAAAAAGCAAATAATCTAGCTAGGAAAGGAGCGAACACTCCACTAACTGGACCAGAACCGTTCTGCTTTCCAAGTGGTAACCAACTCAAGGCGGAACTCAAGAACTTGGAAGATTCCATCCGCAACCTGGAATGGAAATCTTGCAATGGTCTAGGACACTCGAAGAAGTTTCTGAGGGCTTATGATCAAGAAAAATCACAGATCTTTCTGAGTAAGAACAATCTTCGGATTGTCACGGGGTTTTTAACAGGACACTGTCTCCTCAATGGACACCTCAGTAGATTGAAACTAAGAAGAAACGGCGAATGCAGATTCTGTGGGAAAGATGGGGAAACACCAGTACACCTCATCACTGAGTGCGCCGAGACGACAACCATTCGTGCCATGAATTTTGGTACGACTGATATTGGAGATGGAGAACTACCCTCTATAAAACCGTCCCAGATACTGGCTTTTGTCAAAGCCCTGGGACTGTATGATGAGTTATGATTCAAGAAAGGGGGACACAATGGATCTGTAAGGTCGAAGTGATTAACCCCCCTCCCACTCATTCTAAATTCTAAATTCATTCTAAACCTCCTTTGTTCGCCTATTGCTACAATTCACTGCACTGCAAGATTCAACCATTTCAACACAAATACAACTAAAAAATCGTCTATGCGGTCCAAAAATGTTTGTAATAATCACCAAAAAGTATAAATAACAGTTTAAAACTTCACTAGAAACAAAAATACACTCAAAAATCTCTAAAAACATGCACCAAAAACTGACAAAAACACACGGTTTTAATGACAAGAAGCCATTTTCTGCCCTGACTATCGCTATCCTTCTTGTCTGTCTCATTCTCGATCGATACGGGGCAGACCCATTCCATATATCTTAACATTTCGTTGGTATAAAAGAATATTTTTTTCGTTTTACGTTTTAAAAAATATTCAGAAATTATTATTTCAAGGAATTTATTACGAGTAGAAAAAATATTGCGCTGGGTTGGCGTTGGTTTCGATGTAATTTGACAAATAAATAAAGCTGTCTCTATAGTTGTCAGTTTTGAGTCAATATTTTTTAGTTCTCTTCAGAGGCGGATCGTGAATTTGTGGGGCCCTGGGCTGAAACTACTTAGGGGCCTACTTAAGTAGCTACTCAACTAATAGCCATGTCAAGAAACTGTTTCTATAATGATATATTATTATTATATATTCTTTATTGCACAAAAAAACATAAATGTTACTTAAATCTACGCAAGTATTAGTTGTACAAAAGGCGACCTTATTGCTGTGGTAGCAATCTCTTCCAGGCAACCTATGGGACAGAGAGGAACCGCGCGAAATAGTACAGGGTGTCCCAAAAATGATGGATCAAATTAAAGTAGGTTATTTCCAACAAAAAAAGTCTTATAGACATATTATGTCCGATTCCTTACCGTTTTTTATGATAATCTCACATTTCTTCACAATTTTTTGTTTCATAAATTTTCTGTTATTTTTTTCTCAAATAAAATTTTAATAGCATCCCTATAAAAGCTTCTTTATTGTACAGCGCATTTTTTACTGTGCGTGCTGATTACGCAATCTACTATCATTTTTAGCACATTTTTAGGATTTTAAGTAGTGTAAAAAAGTGAATTTAAATAAATACATAATATTGATTAATATCAGAGAGAGACAATGTGATAGTAATGAGTAAGTTTATTTATAACGAAATTATTTACATAAAAAACTTATAATAATTAGATTACAAAAGGTGTTCAAAATGTCCTCCATTTGCTCTAATACACAATCTGCATCGACGTATAAAATTTCGTTTTATGCGCATTTAAGCCGGAACATTGGTACGAATTTACTGTGACACTGCTCCTATTCTTTCACGAAGTCTTTGTCATCATGCGAAAAACCTGTTGCTTGAAGTATCCCCACAAAAAAAAATCCAGTGGATTTAAGTCCGGCGAACATGGTGGCCATCTTATTGTTCCTCCTCGCCCTATCCACCTGTTGGGAAATGTTTGGTCAAGAAACTGTCTCGCATTGCGAGCAAAATGAGGGGCAGTCAAACTGAAACCACATATTCGCACGTATAGAAATCGGAATATCCTCCAATAAGATGTTTAGATTGTCTTGTAAAAAATTAAGGTAATTTGCTCCATTCAGTCTTCTTGGTATTTCAAAGGGGCCTATCAAAGTGCCATTAAGTATTCCAGCCCATAAATTAATACAAAACTGATGTTGAAATCGATCAGCTCTAACCGCTCTTGGATTCTTCAACTGCATTCATCTGTCCATAAAATGTGTTGGAAAAAATTATAATCGTTTCTGGTACGCTGCAACATTTCTCTACAAAATCGTACTCTTAATGGGTAATCTGCAGGTAATAAGGCTTGCACTCGTTGAAAATGGAAAGGATGCATTTGATATTGTCTTAATATGCGATGGATTGTTGATCTTGGTATTCCCATAGTTTCTACCATGCCACAAATACCTCTTGAAGGATCTGCTTCTACTTGATTTAACACGGCTTCCACATCATCGTCATATTGCCTTGGCCTTCCTATACATTCTATTGGGACTCCAGGTAACCTTCCAGCAATATATGCATTATGTACCCGAATAAAAACAAGATAATCGGGATAGTGTTGTCGGTACGGGTAATGTTGACGATAAAGTCTTGCAGCACGTCGAGCACGTCCATTACACAATCCATAAACAAAATGCATTTCTGCATATTCTTGCAAGGTAAAAAGCATTTTGTTAATCTTGTCAGAATTGAACACTTGTCAATACACGACTAAAATGCACTCTTAAAGATAATGCAATTTTGGTAAAATAAAAACTGTAGGTATTTTCCTCGGTATTTGCAGAATTTTACTAAGCTGATAAACAGATAATTGAATTGGCAGATAAACATTTGGGAAACAAATTATCGCCTATTATTTTTACAGGAGTCTGGGGGCCCCTTGTAACCTCGGGGCCCTGGGCTGCAACCCAAACAGCCCTTAAGTAGATCCGGCCCTGGTTCTCTTTCGTGTCGATTGCTGATTGAATTGGAGCCAGAAATGGCTCAAAACGAAATAAGTAAATTACCAACAGATATTCCGCCATATCCAAACTACTTCCATTTAAATCCCGAATAACTTATGAAAAGGAATACAAAATTTTTCCAAAAAGAGAGGAATTAAAAAACGTGCAAGAAGAAATAAAGTTTTTAACCTATCCTCGCTGTTAAAGTATCATTTAATCTACCGTTGCGGTTAAAGTACTATTTTATCTGCTATTTTTGATAGATATAAGGCAATTTTAACAGTTGCTATGTAAAACAGTATATTTAATATACTGCAGCGTATTTCGCCAATACAATTTTAAACCATATATTGAAGAGGTACGATTTAGGAGCCAGTTAAAAAAAGATTTTTAATCCATTTGACATAACTTCTATTATTAAATCATAATGGATTTAGCTGAAAACTTATTGTTAAGGCAGGATATAAATCTTTATAAAATAACAATTAAGAACTACAGGATACTTAAACAATATTATGAGGCAATCCTCTCACGACCTATATAGTACGCATGCATAATAAATATTGTAAGCTAAATATTCATCCAACCTATGATTATTTAATGGCATTAACTAATTAATTTATATAAACGTTTAATGTTCGTCTAGATCGGCGTTTCCGCAATCTGGGTCGGAATTAGGAATGAGCGATTAACCTGTCGATATATTCTAATTATCGATATGTCGGATATTTTAGACAAAAAGTTTTCAGATAAAAGTTGTAGATAATCACATCCCTAATGAGTTTATGTTCTCTGATTTTTTCTAAAGCCTGTCATTTTTGACATATGACACAAACATATGTTTTTTTTTTAAATGGAAACCATAGTTGGCTATAACTTCATAAAAAGCGCCATTTTTTAAGCTTTTCAGCGATATATACTATAATATGTTTTTTCCAAAAATTAACTGAGTTATAGCCAATTCTTATCTTTCTTGACTAATTTCACTTAGTTGGTATGGTGTTCTTATTTTGTTATAATTTATAACTTATAAAAAGACAAAATATATTATTCAACGGCTCTTTACAATTTACATTACACAAACTAAAACTTAAAAAAATAATATCACTACATACACTTTAAGTTATTTTAGAAAGTGTTCAAAAAATCCACCATTGTTTTGAGCACATAAATGCATCTTTTTAAAAATGAATTTCTAGCTATTCTCACAGAACGACCGGTCGACTTAATTAAACTTCTCCTGTACCGCCTCTTCGAGTGCCTCTCTTAATTCATACGTTCTTTTGTAAACCTTGTTGATAATCATATAGCATAAAACATCTAAAATGGATAGGTCAGGTGATCGAGGAGACCCATGCAACTGGTCCACTTCTTTCTATCCCGTAGTCTACATAATTATGATATAAATAATTTTTCACATTTGTTTCATTGTGAGGGGGGGGGGGTGTCATAATGAAAGTCATGTTGGAACCACTCTATTAATGCGCGAGTATCTAAATTTAACTTTTCTAACATGTCTTGAAAACCGTTCCCTAAAAAACGTGAGTAACGTTCACCGATCAACGTATCCTGTATGTATAACCAAGAAAAGTTGAACCAATAATCCTACACGCTTTTCTTCATTTGAAAAATTCATGTTTACAATTTTTGTTGATCTTAATCTACAATGTTTGGATGTGACAGTTTCACATTTCTGAGAGCAACGATTGAACTTGTTTGCATAGCTAACTAAGTGAAATTAGTCAAGAAAGATAAGAATTGGCTATAACTCAATTTGAAAAAAAAATATTATAGCTTATATCGCTGAAAAGCTTAAAAAATGGCGCTTTTTATGAAGTCATGGCCAACTATGTTTTCCATTTAAAAAAACATATGTTTGTGTCATATGTTAAAAATGACAGGCTTTGGAAAAACACAAACTCATTAGGGATGTGATTATCTAGAACTTTTATCTGAAAACTTTTTGTCAAAAATAGATTATAATGGAATTAGGGGCAGTTTTTAAAATAGCCAAAAATTTTTGTTTTCAAAATATCTAGGCACATTTATGACCCCACAAAACTGCAATTCTTTCCCTATTTTACCGACTCTCGATCTCAAGCAGTTTTTGAGGTACCTATAGAGAACACCATAGGAAACTCACCCTGTATAGATAGTTATCAACATATCGAAAAAAATCATCCCTAATCCTAAGTATCTAGTATAAAAAGTTGTTCCTATTATATTTTGTGTTACACTGAAAATATAATATACATTTTATACCGGGTAGGTCTCAAAAGTGGCTCACCCCCAATAACTTTTTTATTTTTTCAGACAAAAAAACAAGATTTGGTATGTTAGTATATGACATAAATTAGGATTAACTGACGTATTCAATTGTTTTTGGTTACATCCTGTTTCACCGGAAATGACTGCAACTTTTAATTTTTAAATGGCACTCTCGGTATTATTTCTGCTTTATTGGATAGAAAATGAAACTCTGAATTGAACGACATACAACTTTTAACATTTTCGCATATGGTTTATTTGAAATTGTAAAATACGTTAATAACGAAAATTTGAAAAATATCAAGTGTGTGTTAACATTAATATATCGCTAGCTAACAATATGTCGATACTATCGATAGGTATCGATACATCCATATATCGATAATTTTTAAGTCACCTATTGTTATTCAATATATCGATACCTATCGATATATCGATCAACTAATCCCATCCCTAGTGGGAATATCGACATTAATTTTCGATTTCGAAATCACAACAAATTGCGAACATATCAGAACCGGGTTCCGATATCACAGACGATACTTATGAAATACCATA